TTTGCTGGTCATGGGGCCTAAACTCTGGGCCTGGGCGCTGTCCCTCAGCTCTTCAGCTCAAGGCTAGGACTCTACCCCTTGAGCCATAGCGCCACTTCCAGCTTTTTCTGTTTATGTGGTGCTGAGGAATCGAACCCAGGGCCTCATGCATGCAAGGCAAGCACTCTACCACTGAGCCACCTTCCCAGCCCCAATAATAATAATCTTTGAAACACAAGTATCCCACAGCCACTGGGTGTAGAAATTGTTAACAATTTGTAAAAGTGAAACTGGGCATGGTAGCTCACACCTGTAATCTCAGCATTCAAGAGATAGAGGCAGAATGATCAGTAGTTTGAGGCCAGCATACATAGTGATATCCTGTCTCCAAAGCCCAAAATGGTGAGGGGCTGAGGGGAGAGAGGTAATGACTAAAGTAAGAACCAACAAACCTAAGGCCCCAAGTTCAGATTCCAGTATTGCCACAACACAAAACATACACCCCACAATATAAGCGTAATTGATTTAGAGATAGATTATTGAGACAAACTACAACCGCATAAAAAACTAACAATATTTATATAAATAAAGGTTTTACCTTTCACTACCCAGTATTGAACTCTGGGCCTTTTGCATGCTGAGTAAGCTTCTACCAATGAGCTACATCGTAGCTGTCAGCAATTGTTGAGTGTTAAATCAGCCTTGGTTCCCAGGATAAATGCCACCTAATACAAGACTCGTGGAGAATATATGAACTTTTTCAACTCCAAAATGAAACAAACCAATTTTTGTTTTGTTTTGTTTTCCGCTCATGGAGCCTGAACTCTGGTCTTGGGCGCTGTCCCTCGGCTCTTCAGCTCAAGGCTAGCGCTCCACCACTTGAGACACAGCACCACTTCTGGCTTTTTTGCTTATGTGGTGCTGAGGAATCAAACCCAGGGCCTCAGGCCTGCAAGGAAAGCACTCTACCACTGAGCCACCTTCCCAGCCCCTGATTTTTTTTATTGTGAAAATACCGTACAGAGGGGTTACAATTACATGAGCAAGGTAATGAGTACATTTCTTATCAAGCATCGTTGCCTCCTCCTTTCTTTCCCCTTCCCATCCCTTCTCATCTCCCCTCCCCCCCCACCCTGAGCTTCTTTTGCCCAAAGCTAGCACTCTACCACTTGAACCACAGCACCACCTCTGGCTTTTGCTGTTTATGTGGTACTGAGGAATTGAACCCAGGGCTTCATGCATGCTAGGCAAGCACCACTAAGCACATTCCAGCCTCCCTTCTTGCTTTTATATCGGAATTCAAACTCAGAACCTAGTGCCTGCTAAGCAAACACTGTACCACTGGAGCCATACCTCCATCCTTTTTGCTTTAATTGCTTTTCAGACACAATCTCTCGCTTGAGCCCACACCAGCCAAGTTGGCAGTCTTCCATCCCCTGCCTCCTACATAGCTGGGATTATAGGCATGAGCATTCATGTCTGGCTTGGGTTTTGTTTGTTTGTTTGTTTGTTTGCCATTCCTGGGGTTGAATTCAGAGCCTGGGCTCTGTACTTCAGCTTCGTTTTTGCTCAAGGCTACCACTCACTCTACCACTTGAGCCACAGTGCCACTTCTCACTTTTTCTGTGTATGTGGTATTAAGGAATCGAACTCAGGGCTTCATGCATGCTAGGAGCGCACTTTACCACTCACTAAGCCACATTCCCAGCGCTGGCTTGTTCTTTGAGATAAGGTTTCACTAACTTTTTTTCCCAGGCTGCCTCAAACTACAATCCTTCCCACCTTCCTCATGGATAGGATTACAGATGTGAACCACCTTGTCCAGCTTAAACTTTGTGCTATGACATAATTGTGAATTCACAGTGCCCCCTGATGGTAACATCTTATAAAACTATACTAGCAGGATAGTTTTTACAGTATCCTGATAATCAGGATACTGTAA